ATTAAAAACATTCTAAACGTTATGTTACGTACAATAGTAGAAATATGTAAATTTATATAAATATGACAAGTTATAAAACTCCATTTTAGATGAGCCACAACTTTCCCCTCTGGTGCTGTTCTTCAGAGGCACTGAGGAAATATTTGTCAACCCAGAGCCTCACGAGGCACCAAAGAGGAGCTTTCTGAAGAAAAGGTCAAAAGACTAACCTTATCCGCCTTGGCAGCAACTTTAGCAGATTTGCTATATAACTCTTCTCTAACAGAAAGTTGGCCCTTCAGTTTTTTATCTGTCAAAACCTGCAATTTATAGTTTGCAGTGATAATAAGCTAACATGATCAAATATCTATCTCTAAATTCTTGAAATCCAAATAGTTCGTACCTCCAAATTCGCACCTTCTCCTCTCAGGTACTTTTTTATTTTAAGATCTAACTCATCAGAAATATCCTGCAAAGCAAAATTATGTATCAGTAATAAATAATTTAAAATACCATGCATACGCTATAAAAGAAGCAATCCGTATTTCTGAACTAAAAGATCTAAATAATATACTGGTGCATGTAAGCTAAATTGTCGTTATTAAAATTGATACTTGCTATTTTGTGAGAACCAACACTACTTCTTAGTTATGATTAATACCCTTTTTTTTCATAAAAAACTTAACTTCGGAACGGGTGAAAATGCAAGAACGTCTTTGAAATATCCTACTCCTACACTTTTTTCTCTCTTCTTTTCTATTTCTCTACAGTTTTGTTTTAAGAACAGATGTGTAAGTTCTTGACTACCCTTGGGCTTTTTCAGCAAATGGTGTTTTAACGCCCCTCTACTTTACTTCGTAGATTTATGAAGGTATATCAGTGTGGAAGAGACTTCTGAGTTAGTCCTAGTTTAGAATTCTTATACGAGGTTTGGGAGGATTCCTCGTCCTTTGTTGTTGTAACGCTTTCTCCTGTCGTCCAGAAACCATTTTTTTTCCCCTAGTTAAAAGCAGACTAAGTATCACATAAGCAAAACGTTGCCAGAGAACTTTAATAGAAAAACTCAAACTCTTTACAGATTTTTCCCTCGATAACTTTGTCGCGTCCCACTGGCAAGTCTTCAATTAAGAAATTCAATTCAAAAACATAGCTGGTAAAAATCATAAAACACTCAATGTACCAAAACAGTCGCGATAAAAAAATTCAGGTACGGTCTCAGGGACACCAACTAGTCTTCGTATTGCGCCAAAATGAAATAACTAAAAGCACGTGTTCAATCCCTATTTTTACATTCGACTCTATAAATCGAAGCTATCCAACGCGTACCTGTTCGGTGGAAGGCTTGGCCCTCCCAAGAGTGTCATTGTCTAGCACCTCAGCCATCTTAGCAAGAAACCGAACTAATGGCGACACGAGGCACCGGCGGCAAAGGTCGAATATCCTCTCCCCACCACAGCGTCGCTTAAGCTTCAAACAGTGATACTCGAATCAATTCCCTGAGGAGACAGAACAGAGAAAACTTCTGCACAAAGACGGCGGCAGAGAAGGCAGGAAAAGGCAACGTAATAGATGGCGGGAGAAGACGCCGGCTTTGGGTCAGTGGGAGGGTTTGCTTGGGGTTTGGGTTCTTAACTTCTTGCAATTTGCGCTTCCCTTTACCCTGGCCCAACATTCAACATATTATTTTTTCGGCCCAGTGCTGTAAATTGATAAAAAAAAAAAAGGATAATTTTTTATTAAAAAAGAATAATTTTATTTACTGTTTAATATCATAAGTTTTCATAAAGTAGCACTTCCGTACTTAATATAAGACATATTTAACTAATTTGATTAAATTAAAAAAATTAAAAAAATTAGTTAATTATAACAAATATGACTTTTTTTAAAAAACATTATAACCATCTTTTTTAATATTTTTTTTTCTTATTTGATTATGGTTGAGAGAATACCAATAAAAATAATTTTAAAAAATAGATAAATATAAAAATAGATTTATATTTAAGGTAAAAATCAATTTAATAATTAAATCTTAATTTTAAAAAAATTTAGTGCGAGAGAGAGACGCGTGTCCTGCGAAGCTTTCTCTATTACGTCATGATCCTAGTTGGCGCTCATTGCCCCGGCCCCCTTCAGCAAATGTTTTCGTAAATAAATGTTGATGACACTTTCGTTCCCGAGGCGACGCATATCATCCCACCCAGACCCACCATGGCCACTGCCAGAGAGGAGGCAGAGCAGGTCATGTTTGGTGCCTTGGATAATCTTTTCCTCAAGACTCAAGTAAAGGCTAAAGATATAGGGATTCTTGTTGTCAATTGTAGTCTATTTAATCCTACACCTTCACTGTCCGCCAAACAAATATGGATTGAGGGGTGGCATTGCTAGCTTTAGCTTGGGGGGAATGGGTTGTGGTGCTGGAGTTATTGCGGTGGATGTTGCCAAGGACTTGGTGCAAGTTCACCGGAGCACATGCGCTGTTGTGTTGAGCACGGAGAACATTACTCAGAATTGGTACTTCGGGAATAAGAAATCGATGTTGATACCCAGCTGCTTGTTTCGAGTTGGGGGCTTTACAATTCTGCTATCCAATAAATCTGCAGATAAAAGGAGGACAAAATACAAGCTGGCTTTTCGATGCATTTATCAAGAACAGGACGATGCTGGTAAGACTGGCGTTTCTTTATCTAAAGACAACATCACCGCGCCTGGTCCTCTTGTGCTCCCAGCAGCTTCTGTTTTTTGCAACCTTGCTGATGAAGAAACTATTCAAGGCAGATGCGAAGCCTTACATGCCGAATTTCAAACTTGCATTTGATCATTTCTGCATACATGCCTGGGGTAGCCGGGTAGGGCAGTAATTGATGAGCTGGAGAAGAACTTTGATCTGCTTCCAGAGCATGTAGAGGCTTCAAGGATGATCCCTTGCCGCTCTGGGAACACTTCATCCAGCTCTATCTGGTATGAGTTGGCTTATAAAGAAGCAAAAGGAAGGATGCGAAAGGGCAATCGGGTCTGGCAAATCGCATTCGGAAGTGGTTTTAGATGTAATAGTGCAGTGTGGGAAGCACTACGTAATGTGAGGTAATCTCCAAATGGACGATGAGATCAATGATTTGTGGGACAAAATGGAAACCACAGATGTTAAAAGTTTCTTTTGAGCTAAACTTGAATAGCATCAACCATCAAGTCCACATCTATCTCATTTCTCATTTTGAATCTCCGAAAATAGCGCAAGACCCATGGCTGAAAAGGAACTTTTAAACCAGTCCCTATAATTTAGACATGAAAAAACATTCTAATAGAAATCCAAGTCATCTGAAAATAACTCTATTTTTTGCTTCTTTTAAAGTCAACAATGCTAACTGCCGCGATAACATTATGATGTAGTGAATCTGTGGAACTAAATCATATTGATAATTGGTGTTTTCTATAATAATCTCTTGACTGGTGAAATTGAGACTGATTGGGAAATATGATTATGCAATAATGCCCATAAGAGCATTAAAAAGATTTAGTTTGCTGGATGCTAAGATTCACCAGCATGTTAACCTTTAGAATAATTGTTTAGAAATGTTTTAAATTTAGAGAAGTGTTTTAAAATGAAAGATAAGGTTTTAAGTGGTTGGAAATATTAGTTTACATGCAGCATCATTTTAAAAAACAACAACAAAAAAAATCTTAAATTCCAAACAAAACACAGGGACAACATTAGGAAGAAAGAGAAGCACGTGCCTTTCAAAGCCAGTCTTCCTTCATCCGCCACCTCGTTGTCTCAAGGCGGTGGATGACGTAGGATGGGAGAAATGGGAGACGGAGGACTGTGTAGTGTGTAGTCCGTTATAAGGCAGTGATTGGTTTTGATTTCAATTTTTTTTTTTAAAAAAAAGTCTCCCCTTTCAGGATAATATGGTAATTTCAAGCGGCATTAGAATGGCAAATAAGAAAGCAAGTGGAATTAATGGGGCATGAGAATTGAGAACATACCATCACGAAAATTATTATTATTATTATTATTTTTTGGGGGGAGTGGGGAATTGATACAGACATCCGCATATAATCTGAAACCAACAATTTCCTGCGGCGCATTGCGAACAACTTGAAATGAACAATCGAATAAACAGCAACCATATAACTGCATGCTCACCAACCCTTTCCTCGGGGTTAGAATTCAGAAGCCACTAGTAAGCAATTAAGCGTGCAGTAATAGCGCTAAATGCTAATAGGCAAGTGGTTAACTTCACCAACTTTGTTTTTTTTTTTTTGGCCGGAACTTCACCAACTTTGTTGGATGCTCGGCTTTAACTGTACATGCTCGTCGAAGACTACTTACTGTGCAAGATTAAAAGCTTGCCCTTGCAAAATCTCCAATGATGAATTTTTTTAACAGTTATGACTGTTTTAAAAATTAAACCACATAATGCTTTATTGATATTCAAAATTTCAATATCATCATATTTTGTTGATGGTTTTAACTTTTAAGATTAAAAAGCTTTTTTTTTTCCTAAGATAAGGGATTGGCTTAAAATCTTATATAAAGTTAAAGAAATAAAAATATACTTTAAATAATTTATATTAGTCCTGTAACACTGGTGCTACTACCTCCGATTTTTATTTTGATTTTAAATATAAAATCCAATCTATTTTGTCTCTTATATTTATTTATTTATTTTTTCAAAATAATCCTTACAATAATAATAGTTCTAACTAATACATTTGATCTGTAAATATATTTTAGAAATGACAACATCTATTTATTACAAATAACTAATTTAACTAATTTTCTTAATTTACTTAATTTAGTCAAGAAGTTATTATATTAAGGAGGTAGCATGGAAGATAATCATGTTAAAAGCATTTTATCTACCAAAACGTAAAAATATTATATTTTTAAGCTCTCCCTACTTGATGAGCCCACCACTGTCAATGGCCTCTGCATGCGATAATGCAACTACAGGTGTGGATTCTATTCGCTTGTTATTAATCAATCATAACCCATGGGCGCAGCTTTGTGTTATAATATCAAGTTTATTTAATTCTATTTTGAACAAACCCAGGAATTAAATGAATTGAATCATCGAATGAAGATTACACGATCCAAGAAAGCTTTCCCACTTTCAAGCAAACAACTCACATATATCGGAAATTGAAAATGTTGGAAAATGGGATTCCTGAAATCAGTTTCTGACAAAATTAAACGGAAGCTCCCTAAGAAGAAAGTTCATCTGAAAGCCCATTGAATTTCTTCAAGGGTTTTCCCTTTTGTCTCGGGAACCCAAATGGCGACAAATATCACAGTAAAAGCACACACAACCCCGTATATGGTGAAGGTTCCTGCAGACAACGTTCATTTTAGTTAAACAAGAAAATATTAACCTCCAAAAATAGAGACGGAGAGAAAGCAAACTGACCTCCGGAGCTCCAGTCCAAAAGCCAATTTGCTGTCAATGTAACCAACCAGGCACTGAACCAATTAGCAAGGGTAGCAACACTTCCGGCAAGGCCTTTAATGTTGAGCGGAAGAATCTGCAATACCAATTTGACAATGTATCAGATCTCACTGAAAAAGCAACCAGTAACACAGACCATCATTTCGTTATTTACAGTCTGCAACGCGCCAAAAATGAAGCACCATCGCAGAAGTATATTCTCGTGCTGAACAAGAAAATTTGATTTAAAGAGTTTGATAAATGGGGCTTCATTTTGCTGCAAATAAATTCATACAGCATTAATTTATTCATGAAAAAACACTAGTTAATTCTCGTGACCCCAGCAATGGAGTAAGTAGGAGCACATATGTAGGTTCACAGAGAGTCTGATTAACAGCTAGAAGTGTAGGAAACTAAAATTCTCTTTCAGGAAAGAATCACTATGCCAATGAAGAAAAATTACAAAATGCAGTACCTCAGACATTATAATCCACGGAATGGCTCCCATTCCCACAGAGAAAGCAGCAACCATAGCCTGAAATAATAGGATATTTAAAATAAAATATTTGAATCAAGCATCTTAAAGGCTTTTTGTATAACCCATGTGAAGATATCACATACCACAACTCCAGCCACTGCTAAGATGCTCAATATCTTATATAAAATAGACTCATCTGATAAGGAATCCTGAGAACAATGAAGGAAAATTTACTGGGGTTAAAGAAAAAACATAAGAAACATAAAGGACATTATCTAAGCTGTTCATGGTGAGCTTGTTATTTCATTCTCTGAATTAACAGATAATCTATAGTCACATGTGCCAGATATACGCATACTTGAAGTAGATAACGCATCTTAATTTCCATCACAATGAAGTTAGTAACGTTATCACCTTTACATAGAATGAGACAGCAACAACTATGAGACTAATGGTCATTCCAGCAGAAGAGACCTGCAATTGAAACACGAATAATCAAAATCTTATCCACCAAGCAGATTCATATTAGAGTCAATTACTAATTTAGTCCCTAAAACATCACTTTTCTCTCAATTCGATGCTTCAAATACGTATTGAGAGACTTTATCTTGGATGACGAAAGTAAGACAAGAGTAATATTTCAGGGACTAAATTAAGAGGCTCTGCCTCAAAGGACCAAATTGAAAGGACAGTTTCCTTCAAGGATTAAATTATTAATGTATCCTCTATGTTATTAAACAAGATTAAAAAAATTTCAGACTCACAATAAGAAGCAACCTGCGACCAGATTTGTCTGCCAACCACAAAGTTACACAGGTGGCGAGAACCTGAATCACATATGAATATATAATCAGACTATGATTTAAGAGTAAAACAAATGGTAAATGACGTTATAAGTTTCCTTTCAGCTAAACCTGAACAGCACCAAGTCCACTTGTGGCTACATCACTTGAACTAATCCCTGTTTAAAATAGGTTAAATTATGAGTTAAAAAGCATTTATATTAAGAAGGACTAGAAATGGAAATACAAGCCGTCTAAAATAGGCTCCATTTTTGCTGACATGATAATATCCTGATGCCGTGAATTTGGGGAACTCATCCAAATTGTTTGTTCCTAACACTAGAAAAACATTTACATTATTATGGGGGAATAGCCATTACCATACACCTGATGAGTGCATTATATAATTGTATAACTTTTCTAAATTTTAATCAAGCTGTTCATTGAATCGTACAGGGATTGCTTTAGGCCAAACAAACATGAGATACTGATATTTAGTAAAACTGACTCATGGTTTTCCTATATTGCACTGCACCAATGGTTTTGCTTCAGATGATAACAAAAAATAGTGTGAATTACCAGCGCTTTTAAAGATGGTGCTGGAATAGAACAGAACGCCATTGATTCCAGTAAGCTGTTGCAGAATGAGAAGGCCAATTCCAATCTACAAGAGAAGAGTGAGAAGAAAATGTTTAGCCTCCAATAACTCATCCTTCCGCAATCTAACTGTTGGGTAGATGGATGGAAACCAGTGCTTTAGATAGATAATAAATACCATTAACGGTAACCAGTATCTTCTTTGTTTGAGTTCTGCAAATCGAATTGTAGTTCTTCTGCCAGCAGATGCAACAGCCCTCTATAGAAAGACTCCCAAATACAATTTAGCCCAATGACTCTGTAAATGTCTATCAGAAAATGGAAATGTAAGGATTATTCATTGTAACCAGATTGTAAATCCTTATTACCTTGATTTCACTAACTTCAACAGAGATATCAGTATCAAACCCTCGGAGCACTTGTAAAGAAGTTTCAAATTCTTCTGTCATGCCCATTTTTGCCTGTAATTGGGGGGGAAAAAAACAGATCAAGAATATGATGTTATGTCAGATGACACTAAGAAAACATTGATTTGAGAAGCTTACCAGCCATCTAGGAGATTCAGGAATGAAAAATAAACCAGGTATTAAAATTGTGCACGGCAGAATCCCTGTAAGTATAAGGGCATAAAATTACTTAATTTGAATTTTCCGAACACTTTCCTTTTTCAGTGACAAGAGGGCGCAGAGGGAAAGATTCCCCCTCCCCCACTTTATGTGCAAGTGAAAATTTTATTGTAACGCCTTTGCCCTTTTGAAAAATAAGTGCGGATATTTAATTCTCATAAACTAAGATTCTAAACAAGCATGGATATGCTTATCTACATTAGCATTTTCGTCCTTTAAAACAGCCTGAGCTTGGACCAAACCAAGATGCAAAACAGCCTGAGCTTGGACCAAACCAAGATGCAAAAAGATCGTGATTCTAACACACTAGTGCCTAAGTTCGAGTTATAATAGGGTTAAACGCGTGGTGCAAAACATATATGTACAGAAATGAGGGGAAAAAAATATGAAATGTTGTTTTCCAAATTATTTAGATGATTATAGTAAAATATGTATTTTAGGGCTAAAATCTTAAATGAGAATACTAATAACAAAACTTATTTGAGAATTAAAACCCCCTAAATTCATATTTTTATGCCAGTAAATCAAATACGTGGATAATTCACCAATCCACGAAATCTTTTAGAGGAATACCTAGTACCGCAAGTATTCTCCATTGAACAAAGAGCCCCAGCAAATAAGCCAGCATAATTCCAATGGTGACAGAGAGCTATGCAGAAACGAGAATACCCGTCATATGAGTTACCTGTTACCAAAACACCAATCCAGCAAATCTAGGAGATATTAACCAACCTGGTTGACTGAAACCAGAGCTCCCCTCAAGTTTTGGGGTGATATTTCAGCTATGTACACTGGTACCTGTGATTTTGAGCAAGAATCGGCATTCAAGAATTCTGTCTCACGCAATGCCACAACTACACTAGAGATAAAACACTTGAGTTACCGTATAAGATATTACACCGACACCGAATCCTTCCAACAGCCTTCCTAAATATAGGAAAGAAGTATCCTGCAAGACGATTAACAATTAAAGAAGACAAACTCACGTTTGCAGTTTAGCTGGCTTTAGATTTGCTAAATAAGATAAAACCAGGAAACTTAGATATAAGTGCTCACTTTTGCAAATGAGATTATCAGCCAACCAATAATATTAGGAACCGAAGCAACCATTAAAGCCTGTAATTTAATGCAACAAAATAAAAGGGGCGATTATTAGCCCAAGATAGTAGCCATCAAATTGTGAAAAGGAATGGTACGCAAAAGAAATGATTCCAACCCCTTTTCGCCCTATATACTCAGCAACCTGGCCACTAGTTATTGCTCCGACCATGGCACCTACATTGGATAAAGAACCAAACAAAGAAAACTGCACGAGAAATATAAGTTAGTACCTGGGAAGTTAATATTATACAGACTCCGATGGAAAGGAGCCAATCAACAGGGATTCAAACCTCGGAGACTGAAAGCTCAAGATCTTTGATGATAGCAGATTGGGTGGGGGATGTATAACCCGCCTAAAAGAAATACCAAAGTCAAAAGCAAGTATCAATGAATTTTTACATTCGTGTTGGGGGTGAAACAGGTGGCAAATGTCAAAGCAAAATCAACCAACATTACTTTCTGTCCTTCCTTTTTGCTTACAAATCCACCAAAACAAATGGTGCTAAGCTCAGTTGTCTGATTAGGTAGTTGGTTGTCTCGCGTGAAATTAGACTATAGCAAACAAATTTACGGGCATGGCAAGTCATACCGTAAAACCAAACTGAATAGGACCCAAAGCGACAATGAGAACGCATGCCACGACGGAGATGGCACTGTCGCGGATGGCCTGAGAAGAACCCAACAAACTGGATTGCCTCGAACTCATTCGATACCAGCTTCCCGTGTGGAGGAATGGTTTCCTGAGATCTCTTGCTTCGTCAGAGTCACTCATTGTTGTATTTGGTAAGCTCCTGATCAGAGGCGTGAAGGGATTTGTTCAAATCAAGTTCGCTCAGAGGGGAGGAAAGAGTTTATACGGATGAGCAAGAGGTGATTCTCTTGTCCTTTCTTGACCATGAACAGGAGTGGTTCAGCAACAGCCTAGCACTGAATTCAGTCTCCGACAGAAGATGGAAGCAAAGGGAGTTGTAATAAAACGGGCATTTACGCACGAGGTCAGCTGCCTACCCTTCGTCCCCATCTGTAATTCTCAATTGTTTCTGTAAAATTCACCAAATTCAACCCTCCGGTTTACTTCACAAAAATGGTTCTATATATTCATTTCACCTCGCACAAATGAAATCATTTTTTTAAAAAAATTTTATACAAGACACCTCGGCCCCTAAAAAGGTACAGTGCAAATTTCGCCGTTACTCCAGCGCAGTCAGCCTCGCTCAGCTCAGATCTTATCCGATAATTGTTGAAGAGCAAAATCCTCGTGTATTGTTTTCAGATTATCACACTCAAACGCAATTTGGTGGCATTTTTTTAAATATATCTCTTCGTATTGTCTAACTTGATTGGTCATGGTTTCCTTTTTATTGATAAAAGCACCTTGATCTCGATTTTGTTAGATTTTCGAGAAATATTAAAATGGACGCGTGATTATTGAGATCATTTGAGAAAATATTATCTCACTCTTTTTTTCATTTGTATATGAGTGACCAAGTCTTCAGCAATCGTGTGTAATTATGCTTTCATAATTTATTGAACTAGGTGAACATAAGCTTACTAGTTGTGTTTTGAGGACTTGTGCTTGTTAACTGGGAGTTTTGGATCATACGCTGAGAGCTCCATCCATGTGTTTGCCCGGCGGAGGGATTGTTGCCGGAGAAGAACGAAATAAAGTTAAGAAAAGGAGTGAAAGTTGAATATTGATTAAAAAAAAATTACAATGAGGTCCTATACAACAACAAAAAATTTCCAAATAAGTTCTGGAAGTTATTATTCTCCACCCTAAAACGTATTAATACAGGTTACTTAGGTTATTATTAGATTTTTTAGTAGTTATTTCTTTTATATGGGATTTGATTGTAATTCTTCCTTCATAGAACGATAATTGTACTATATAGTTGTCACAAAATAAATATTTAGCTTCATATTGTTGTAAACTCCGTCTATTATGTAAAAAATTGATAAAATATTTTATATTTTATATTGATATTGATTATTTCATCCATCCAGTTATAACCGATATCCCCTCTGGCCTTTGGATGCAATGTGCTCTTATCCAGTTTCAATTTCAAGTCTATACGATATACATCATATTAAATAAAATATAACTTTTTATTTGCAGCGTGAAAATTAGGACAAACTTTAGGCACATTACTTATCTATCATAGCTAAATTTCTCCAGTTACCGCATTTAATCTGAAAACCGAGTGTTTTTTGTGACTGAAAAATGAGTCTTAGCAGAAATAAGTTATATCATACATGCCTTCTTCAAAATGTGTTATTCTAATTATAATACCTCATTTATGATTTATAAATAAGATCTTATAATTAGAACAATATGTAGTATCATCAGTGCCTTTTTATTTTGTTTTGTTTTGTTTTTTTGTTTTGGATGATATCATCATTAAGACTTGAGATTAGGGGTGAAAACATGCCAGACAAGGCCAAACTTTGTCTTTAATAGGCCAAGCCTGTTTAGTAGCATGCTGGCTTGAGCCTAGCCTGTGGCCTGTAATAGACTCTCTTTTTTTCCAGCCTAAACCTGACTTGTATAAAGGCCTAGTCTGGCCTGAACTTGTTAAAAAAACTTGTAATTTTAAAATTTTCAGAATGCATAATAAAAAATACATTAATTAATAAAAAAATATAAAATATACATACTACATAATTATTATTTTTTATTATTATCTTTATTTAAATTTCAATGTCATGAGTAATGTTTTAAATCTTAATTACAGTTAATATTATTAAAAAAAGTTATAATTATATACTCATCCGGTCTTAATATAGGACCTAATTCTTGAATTGATTCTGGTCCTAAATATAAGACTCATTTTTTATATTTATCAATTTTCTCTAAATTACCTCTATGGATACTCCATCAATCGTAATCAAGTAGAAGAGGGAGAGGGGATATTAAGAAAGATGATTATGGTGTTTTAGGAAAAATATGTTAGTTTTCTTATAATTAAACTAACTTACATAACTTTCTTAATCTAATCAAATTAGTTAAATGGGTCATATATTAAGAACCGGAGGAGTATTAAAATTTAAAATAAGATTAGATATAAATACAAAATAAAAATAAAAAATAAAACAAAAAAAAGGCTAAGCTAGGCCTAAGAGGCTTTCCAAAAAAACCTAAACTTGACCTGGCTAAACAGGCCATTAAAAAAAACTTAAACTTTTTTCTATTTTCAAAAAGACCAGTCAGGTCAGGGCAAATATAAACCAGACCACAGATTCTTGGACTTATTTCTACCTTTACTTTTTTTTTGTTGGTAATATTTCTACCTTTACTTGACACGAGAGTAAAAGGCTAAGAGCATCCTCCAGTGAGACTGGCGCGCGCCCGTAACAATGTGCCCAAGGGAGAAGGCCGATGAGGCTGACATGGTTGCCACAGGAGCTCTCTCTCTCTCTCTCTCTGTGCGCGTGTGCGTGTGTGGATACGAAAGAGGGTTAAGCCGGAACAACAAAGAGGTGTGAGCCTTTTTCACCAAAAAACAAAAAGAGGCGTGAGCCTTGTGGACCGGACAAAGCCCAAGATCTGGCCACCAGCGAGGATTCTTCAAGTATTGGGCCTGCGAAGCCCGGATAAGTAGGCTCGATGGGTACAAGTCACGTGTAACACGCGCTGCGAGGTGGCGTTGGAGAAGAGGAGACCACCCAATTGACGGAGGAATTTGGTGCTGGGCGAGAAGCCGCACACCGAGCTACGTTCAAGGCTTCAAGCTAGTGAGAAGAGAAAGAGCGGGGAAGGAAGAATCTGATTAGAATTCAATTTACACGAGGGATTACATCCAAGTTACCGAAATTGTGTCTTCTCAATTTTTTTTTTTCACGCTCTGAGTTCAATCTCGTCATCATCTCGCATATCCATTCATTTTTTTGGTATCTCTAACCCTTGTCTTTGTTTTGGCATCGCCGACGCCGCCGTCGCCGTCACGTCACCGTTACCATCGTCATATTTAGGCTGCCTCGTCACTGCTGGCTGTTCCACCGTCGACCCGAGTTCAGAGCGTTTTGATCGAATCCCTTGCAAATGGGCGAACAAACCCAAGGTCAAGGACAGACCCAAACCCGAGCCCAGAGTCAGCCCCAGTCTATCCAGGATTCTGCCCCTACCTCCATTGCCCCCGCCAATTCAACTACTGCAACAACCGCCACCGTCGCCGCCGCTACCATTGCCCAGGCTACGCTAACAGAGTCCGAACTGAGTAATGCTCCTTCGCAAACCTATGCTCCGCCTTCCAAAATCCCTTTACGCCCCCGAAAGATCCGGAAGCTCTCTCCGGACCCAAGTAACTCTCAAATTGTCCCCGTAGATAACCCAAAACCTATCCCGACCACCACCTCCTCTGCTAAGACCACTGGCGGCCGGAACAACAAAAATGTTCAACAACGAACTCACATGGTTCCCAGGATCGTTGCTAGGTCACTATCTTGCGAAGGCGAGGTCGAGATCGCTTTGCGCTACCTCCGAAACGCCGATCCGCTTCTTGCTTCTCTAATTGACATTCATCCACCTCCTGCCTTTGACAGTTTCCACACTCCATTCTTGGCTCTGACGCGTAGCATTTTGTATCAGCAACTTGCTTATAAAGCTGGCACGTCAATCTATACCCGCTTCATCGCTCTTTGTGGGAGCGAAGCTGGTGTTCTTCCGGAAACAGTTCTTGCCCTAACCCCTCAACAACTTCGCCAGATTGGGGTTTCGGGCCGGAAAGCTAGTTATCTTCATGATTTGGCTAGGAAATATCAGAATGGGATATTATCAGATTCAGCCATTGTAAATATGGATGATAAATCTCTTTTCACAATGCTCACGATGGTTAATGGGATTGGATCTTGGTCTGTTCATATGTTCATGATTTTCTCTCTCCATAGACCGGATGTTCTTCCGATTAATGATCTCGGTGTTCGCAAAGGGGTTCAGCTTCTTTACAATCTTGAGGAGTTGCCGCGACCTTCTCAGATGGACCAATTATGCGATAAATGGAGGCCTTACCGGTCAGTTGCTTCTTGGTACATGTGGAGATTTGTGGAAGCAAAGGGAACTCCTTCAAGTGCCGTGGCTGTGGCTACTGGTGCCAGCTTGCAGCAGCACCAGCAGGAGCAGCAACAACCGCAGCACCCATCACAGCCACAGCTTCTGGATCCTATAAATAGCATGTTTAATCTTGGGTAAGACTATAAATCATAGCATGCTTAATATTCGTTTTGTGCTCACTCTTTTAAGCATCGTTTAGTATTGTGACTGAGGCATGAATTGTGTCTGTTTGGTACACAGAATGGAAGGGAATGGAAAAATGAGGAGAATGAGGAAATGATTTTTGTAATGGGATATATCTTTTGTGCTTTAAACAGGAAAAGTAATAAAAAAGATATGTTCTTATTAAGTACTGATGACAAAAATATTATAGATATTGCATATATTGCTTATCATGGTATGGGTGACTAAACGGGGCCAACATGATTGCAGATAGATTTTCATGCCATTTGAATTAGAGAATAGCTTTGGAACCCTCTTTTTAACTTCCCAGCAGGCGAGGTTTATAACTTGTTTTGGACTATCAGTTGTTCTGTGAGATGTTATAGCCTTCCAGAAACAGGCATTGAATATAACCTTCCAAGTTGTCAAGCTGTCCTCTCATGGAAGAAGAATTCTGAACTTTGAAGGATTTGGTCAAGTGTTGTTGCTACATCCATGTTCAAGAATATGAGTTTTGGTACTCATTAGTGTTGACAAGAACTTGGTAATGGATAAATTCTGCTGCCATTACATTATGGCAAGAAATTACCAGAGAAGGAAGTTGGTAATTTAATACATCACTGTAGGGAAGTTTTCCATGGACGAGTACCTTGCCGTATCAATATTTGGCCAATTGCAGTTGATGATTTTAACTTTTCTTAATGCAAGAGGATTTTGATTTGTCAATCAAGATTCGATGCTGATAGGTCCTTCTTCCATTTATGGATGTCTCTGTGTTTCGTGCATTGATTGTAATGAAGAGCTTTCATTTCTCTATTGAAGAGAGCGGCCTGCGTGAGATTAAGCTGTTCAGATTCAGCTTTCATTCATAAGAAGAGTTGTTCCCCAAGTAAATAAGGAATACTAAAGGAGGAAATAAAAACTAGGTGAAAAGAGAAGGAAAGAAAAACAGCATACGGAATAAAAAATGGGGAAAAAAGTTTACCTTCATCTGTTTTTGAAGAAAATAAAGGGTTGTGCTTTTCTCACATGATATGGTAATATCCACTCACATAAGAATGTCCATATCTTGTGTGTTCCTATAGTAGTCTAGTCTATCTCTGTCTTCACTACTGAAGCTGCTCTTTAACCCTTTCTTCATTATTCCCTAATCCCCCTCACCTCGTTTCATAAATGATAAAGTACCTCATGTTTAATCCCACGAACTCCTGAAATCCTATCATTCAAGAACCACGAGCTTTTCTGCTTCAGCTACTGTTTTCTAAAATTGAACCATTTTTTCCTCTATCAAATCTCGATGTTTCCTAATGAGGAATTCTGTTTAACTCTAAGCTACTCATTCATTAGTTTTAGATGTTGAAATCTTACTTTTTAAGCAGGTAGGAATCCGACTAGAGGTCTTGGGCTGTTGGTCAAATTTCAATGTACCAGAAAAGAATCTAATCTTTAGAGCTCATCTTACTTTCCGGATGTTCTTACACATATCTGTTTGAAGTGTTACTTTTAAGTAGGAATACCGAATTGCTTGTACTAGTGGAAATCCCTAATTACTTGTATTTTTTCTATGACATGTTTTCTTTTGGGGGAAAAAAATCTTCTTGGCCTTACTTTGTGGCTCTGTTTATGTCATAGATATTTAGCCATGTATATTATGGATCTAATTTCACCTGGTTTTGTTACCACAAGGTCAGGACTGATTGGAGAGAAGTTTCTTCGTCAGATGTTTGAAGCTTTATTATTATGCTTGTCTGGTGTCTTTCCAGTTGTTTGTTTCCTAGCTCGGTTGATTGCATATGATGTTAATACTTGTAGCTTGCCAACAGATAACGTGCTCATGCATGTCTCATCTTCGGTGTCATGTGATATACAGGGCTGCCTGTGCTTGGGGACAGTGATCGCCGGTTGAATTGAGAAGTTTGTGATGAGATCTCGTTTTACTGCCTTCGGTAGCACCAAAATTCCAAAGCCAAGCTATGAAGTGAGTGTACTTAATAGAGGATCTTGGTGGGATAAGTTGGGTAACGTGGGCATTGAAGCATTAGTGTATGTTCAGTAATTGCAAGATTCAATAAAAAGACAATCAAGTTAGGTCTATTCTGTTGTCGAAGTTGTAGGTCGCCTGTTTTAAGTTGTGAAGTCGTCTTTCATAAAAACAGGGCTTATCGGAGTGCGGTGCTTCTGTGCGTCTGCGCCATGGTGATGTGGTTTGGCCTCCTTGTACGTGGTCCTCTTTGGGGTAGTGGATGCCCATTTTCTGCATATGCGTCCTATAGATTCGCTGATTCCCGTCTCGTCCTTCCTTTTATTGTGACCGGCAATTTTTATTTCATGTGATTCCATTAAAATTCTAAAAATTAAAATTATAGAAACATTAAAAAAATTAAATAATACAAGTATATGCGTCACACAGTTAACAGCTTTCTGTAAAGCTGCTGGCCTGGTAGAGTCTAAGAGAGTGTTTGGGTAAGATCAAAATTATGGTTTCAGAAGTGTTTTTATGGCATACAAAGTAAATATGTGAAGGGGTTTGTCTTGGTTTGTAGAAAAAAGTTTCTGAAAAGTGATTATTAAGGTATCTAAATACTTTTTTAATGTGATTTGCTATAATTGATTATTGATGATTATGATCACAGCGTAACTTAGATTTTGTTTGTTGAAAAGGTTCACTCAATGAAATTTAAACCCGAACAAGTAAATACGGTAACTTATTGTTCTCAGACACAAGTAGAGCCGGTAATACGGGCTAGGCTCACGGGCCCAGCCCGCCAGCCCGCCAAAAAAGGCGGGCTTGGGTTGATGTTTTCCCAGCCCGCCACGGTGCGGGCTACTCTAGCCCGCACCGCTTTTGGCCCGCTCCGCCGCGGGCCAGCCCGCCAGCCCGCTTTTTTTTTTTTTTTACTTTTTCTGATTTTTAATACATTATATAATATAATTAGATGATTTTGACCATTAAATTTCATATGGACATTACCTCATCTATATCATTATATATATAATTAATTAAGCACTTCATATATATGTATGGTTATATGAAGAGCACTATCTATCTTTTATTTTTATATCTATTTGTCATTAGTATGCACGACTTCATAAGATTAGATAAATATGTGATTTTCATATAGTCATACACACACACACATAAAAGATTTACTTAATTAATTTGGATAAGAAAACTAGTTAAATTAATTATTTATAAAAAATATATATGTTAGTTTTTCTTAAATTTCTTCTAATATTATAAATTAATTCTCTTTCTTTTTATTAGGATCCATTACTCAAGTTTAAAACTCGGAGCCTAATTTCAACATTTCAAATTAGGCTTAACTCATACTAATATAATAAATTTTAAAAAAAAAAAAATTTAGGCGGGTTCGGGCTGGCAAAATGCCAGCCAGCCAAGGTGCGGGCTACTTCAGCCCGCACCGCATTTGGCCCGCACCGCGGCGGGCTGGCCCGTATCCGCACTGCCAGCCCGCTTTCCCAGGTCTAGACACAAGTACCCTTAACACGTGGTATGTAATAAAAGCCCGATTTTTCCGTGTGCACTATCCCTGACATTTTGTGAACAGTTTTGCACATCACTGGTACGGATTTGGTAATTGATCTTTTGAAGCCATCGTAGAAGAAAACACAAGATACACATTCGTGAACCGTAAAGCATGGTCATCGTATGATAGAAGTAGAAACATCTTAAAAGCATATAGAAACATTTTTTGACAGAATAGAGCTCAAGTAAATAAAGCTCGGGTGGAGTCAATTAACAGAATAATTTTGTTCGGAAATAATTGACAAGAAGACTGTCCCGGTGGGGAAAATTGCATGTTTATTTATTCTCCATGGCAAGAGAGAAAACAACGTCTTGATCAACTGTGTGATCACAATCACTTAATACATTTATCTGAGGGCTTGTTTGGAGTTGTGATCTATTAATATTTATAAGCATGTTCACGTAAACTATGATAAAATTCTTTTTAAATACTTACTAGGTACCTCATATTTTATAAATGACAGTTAAAAAACTATTTTTAAACCGTGTCAAACAAGCCGTGATTTTGACATGAAAACCCTTGGGCATAGTTGATGGGAAGAAATTGGATGGATACAAAATAAAACGGATTTCTAACTTCTCGTAATAAACGTCCACACTTTCAAACCAAAAGAAAATCCTTACATTTGTCTTATACAGCTGTTCAACCTTTTAATGAAACTCTCAAAAACCTTGTGGAACTGGACTTCTGTTAAAAAACTACTTCGAAATTCATTATTTGAACCTCACTATGTTTGTTTTGGCAGATTTTTCAGGGAAAGTAAACACAAAACAAGTCATGTTGCGCATAAGGTATGATTCAGTTTTTCAAATAATAATACGCAAACAAACATTGAAATCGGAATTCAAATTAAGGAAATATATTTTTCATAAAAATGCAGAAGTCACGAAAAGAGGGCGGCTAACTACAGAGACAGATTGTGTATTAAATAGAAATTGCTTTTGGCAGACGGCAAAGTAGAATGCAATCCCACCACATACAACATCAACAATGCGACGCGATTGTGATTTTGTAAGAGCAGCTCAAGGACCACCCACTGGGATATTCTCACGGAATATCTCTTTGTTCCTTATAGTTCTCTTAAATTTATATTTGTTTAAACTTATCCACCTAGATGATACATAGAATTGAATCAAAATCCACAATAACTCCGACTATAAAGTGACACCCTCAAGCCTCCCTGTCTCGCAATTCGCAGGCAGAGCACACCCCACCATGCAACACGAGAACTATGATCCTTCCTTCCCCGACCAACCTGTGGTCGACCAGTACCTCCCTGTTTGGGCCAATCTACCGTCCTTCCGGTCCAAGCCGGCCTTCATTTGGTCCCATGGAAACTCCAAACCCACCACTCCCCTCACCTATTCTCAGCTCAATGCCTCAGTGAACCTCCTTTCTTCTAAGCTCCTCGTTCCTTTACAGAGACGCGACACTGTCATCATTTTGTGCCCTCCGGGACTTCAACTTGTGAAGCTCATCTTTGCGTGTCAACGTGCTGGCCTTATGAGCATCCCTATCATCCCCCCTCATCCTTCTTTTTCTCGTCCCAGTCATCACCATCTTATGAGGGTCCTTTCCCAGACAAAACCTAAAGCTGCCTTAGCTCATCCTCACTATATCTCCAGCGTTCAAAGCTACTTGTCTTCTTGTCCCCCCCGCAAGGATGAGAACCTGGCTCGCATGTTACAAAAAGTACATTGGATCTCCATTCACGAAGATGACGGTGTCAGAGATGGTAATGTTGCGGTTTTAAATAACCGTACTTCTGATTCTACACCATACAGTGGCTGCGGTGCCAATGAGGTTTATTTGGTTCAGTACACGTCAGGTGCCACTGGGATTCCAAAACCCGTGCTTATGACTGCTGGCTCAGCCGCCCACAACGTCAGAACGGCAAGGACCGCCTATGATCTTCATCCAAACAGCGTCATTGTTTCGTGGTTGCCTCAATACCATGATTGTGGTCTCATGTTTCTGTTACTGACCGTTGTATCCGGGGCCACATGCATCCTGACCTCCCCAGCCGACTTCATCAACCGTCCAAGACTCTGGCTTGAACTGATGTCGGAGTTCAAGGCCACGTGTACTCCTGTTCCGTCATTCGCACTGCCCCTCGTGATCAAGCGAGGTGGGCCACACCAAGGAACCATTCCCATAAATCTTTCCAGCTTAAGGAACCTGATCCTCATCAACGAGCCAATCTACAGTGACTCCGTTGAAGAATTTGTTCGTGTTTTTATTCCATTTGGGATGAAACCCTCCTCCATCTCTCCTTCTTACGGGTTGGCAGAGAATGGTACTTTTGTTTCCACCTCCTGGAGGGCTGATGATAGCTATTCTAGCTTTCCGGGGCTTCCAACTCACAGGAAGCTTCTACCAATCGCAAGGCTTTCTAATAATCCATCTCGAGAGGACATTGACATTGTGGTTGTGAACGAAGAAACTTGTGAAGCGGTTGAGGATGGCATTGAAGGAGAAATATGGGTTTCATCACCAAGCAATGCATCTGGCTACCTCGGACATCCTCACTTAACGAGGGAGGTGTTTCATGGGAGACAGAGAAACGCAGTGGGGAAGTGTTTTGTTCGAACAGGAGATTCAGGGGTTGTTAAAGGAGAGCAGAGGTTTCTGTTTGTGACAGGTCGGTGCCACGACGTTATTGAGGTCCAAGGTGGTCGAAGGATTCATCCCCACTACATTGAGAAGGCGGCATATAACAGGTGTCCCAAGTTTGTTAGAGGAGGTTGTATTGCGGCATTTCAGATTTCAGAGACCATAGCACTAGTGGCAGAGATGCAGAGGATTGAGAAGGATAAGAGGGTTTTGAAGAGAATCTGTGAAGAGATGAGAGAAGGTGTTGCGAAAGAAGAGAGGGTTGAGGTAGGAGTGGTGGCTTTGGTGACGAGTGAGGCGTTCCGAAAACAACTTCGGGGAAAGTGCAGAGATGGGCAGCCAAGGAGAAGTTTAGAGAGGGCAAAATGAGAGTGATGATGGAGATGAAATTCGGAGATGCAACATGCGGTGGAGATGCCCCGCAGGAAAAAGCAGAAACTCGGATGCTACTAATGTCTCTTCTGTGAATGCATGGCCTCTTGGCTACGTGGTTTAGATTTCATCGGCGGATTTTGTCTGTTTGGCTTTTGAATAACCAGGTGGGATGCACAGTGCCATAATTTTTAGCGTTATTGCGGTTTGGATGCTTTTGTTTTATTATTGCCCGTATGAGCTATGACTGATGAATAGCCGTACCTAGATTTTAATTAAAATTTACAATTATTTTAAGCACATCTCGTGGATTGCATCAGCGGTGAAAGCTTAAAACAAATGTTTTATGAAGTTTATCTGTACTGTTTAGGTAGATTTGCTGAAATCCCAATCAATCCTGGTTCTGTTTCCGTTCAATACTTTTAGGTCTTGTTTGGTAGGAGAGAATAGTAATGGGAATGGTAATGGGATTGGCAATGGGGCTTTTATTTTGTGTTTGGTAGGAAGTAATATGTGGAAGGAATACATGTATTTATTTTATTTTATAACAAGATATATAAAATTAAAAGACTATAATACCCCTTGGTATTTTAGAGCTTGAGACTCCAACCTTATGCACTCTTTTTCTAATAAAAAGAAGACCACATGGTCATATATATTGTTTTAAAAATAAATATATTAAAATTTGCCTCATTTTACAATAAAAATAAGTAAAAATAAATTAAACATTTTGAAAATCAGAAATTTTTCACCGTATCCCAACAAATTTAAATATAAAAAATTAATAAAAATTTAAAATTTATCCCAAAAAAATTATTAATAATTCCTTAAAACTATAATAAAAATTTATCACTAGGTCCTTAATATTATAATCTACTTAAAATTTAGTAATACATTTTAAAAATTAATAATATATAAGATCAAAAGATAAAAAGCAAATGACTGTTTTCACTATAATTTTCTGTAATATTTGTTCAAGTAAGTAAGATAATCCATATCTTACTTCAAACGGCCATCAAAATATTCCTACCTGAAACAAAATATTTCAATTCTATAACAAAATATTCCTGTTTGAAACAAAATATTTCAAGTCTAACAAAATATTCCTATGTTTCTCATGAAAAGAATTCATGAAAATATCCCAACTTCAGTCACACAAATATCAAAGTATTCATCAGCATATTCATGGAGATATTATTTCACGAATCACATCAACTTTCCCCTCTTGAGACATGGCAAAAAATCCAACCAGTATGCTCTCATCAGATATCATCTTGACATAAGCTGCCATACGTTCTTTGTGTGAAAGTCCTTCAATCTTCATAAGATCACCATAGAGTGACTCATTCATCCCATCCAAACGTTTCTTACGTTCAACCCTATCTAGACGCATTCCCAGACGATCACTTGCCTCCATCAAACCTTCAGAAAATGAACGAGCAACTGTCTCAATACCTTTGAGTAAGATGTCATCACGATAAGCTCTTGTGCGCTTTCGCTTTTTGGACCCTGAACTTGCATCAGATGAAATGTGCTCAGTTTGATTGTTGACATGTGAAGTGTCTTCCGGATGTGAAGTGTTAACATGTGATATATCCATATCAGCATCTGGGTCAGCCTCAAGAATTGAATTGTCCAAACCAGTCTGATCTTGAAGCTCCTCAAGGACATCTTCACATGTTTGAGCATCCTTGCCGGTTGCCCTGTCCTTGCCAAACATGTCATGAAGCTCATCATAATAAGAGAAAGATTTGTTCCGGAACTTAGCTGCCTCCTTGTGCGCTTGTAAGGATAACACAAGTTACATTCATTAATAAATAATTAAACAACCTGAAATACAATTATGAAATTAATTGTAACTTAAACAGTTATGAAATGACCAAATTAGATTTTGATATATGGGTGTTACCGAAATATTTTTGAAATTGATGAAATATATGAGGACAGGTTTTATAATTCAGGATATAGGTGAATGTAATCTAGCATAGATAAAATCAATTAACAATAAGCAGGTAAACTGTAAACTACCTGATGAAGATAAAATCGATGAAGTGCTAGCATGGCAAATCAGACGAGGGAGATCAAATCAGTAACTATAAAATCATTGACAAACTATTTACAATCTCAGCATTATTAAACGGATTCATGTTTGTGATGCTATCCATCTTCTAAATCCACCAAAATTTGTGAATCGAAGAAGATTAAAAAAAATTGTTGATGAAAACTGAAAAAACAAGGATAGCATTTATCTTACCAGTGATTGAAGATAAACAAAGTGACCGAGAGCGACAATGTGAGCGACTGACTGAGCAATGGAGTGAGCGACAGAGGAGAGCGGGCATGAGAAAGATGGAGATTGAGAGCCGAGAGGAGATGAGATAGAGGCAAAAATGAGAGGGACAATTTTGTCTTAACATTATTGTACTATGGGTATTTTTGTATTTTATGCTTTTTAATCCCTAGATTAAAAAGGCATTACCGAGGGGAAGGTGGGATTGTATAATCCCACTAATGTGGCATTGAACAATCCCTGGTAATCTTTAATCCCTCCTACCAAACATGACAATTTCACCCAATCTCTAGTCCATTCCCATTCCCTCACCCTCAATCCCACCAACCAAACGTGGCCTTAGTGTAATTATACTTAAAACTATTATTACTATTTCAAATAATAATTATTAAATTTAAATGGAAACTATATTTTAGAAATATTGTTAAATTAGTGTTAAATTATATTTAACAATAATTATTAAATATAATTATGAACGTAAATACTTTATAAGATTTATACATTTTTGACGATTTATGTACCGATAAATAATTTTAATAAATTAAATTCAAACATAATCAATTTTTTTAAAATAACTTATAAAAATTTTGGCCAAAAAGATCACTTATAAAAAGAAAGTATCAAAACAAGAATCAAAATTAACTAGCATTTCTAATTAATATCATTTTTAAAAATTATCACCATCTAAAATAGTATTGGAGGCCTCAATTTGCAAATAATAATAATAGTTATAAAATGATTGAGATGCCCCTCAAACTCTTATTCCCGCCGGGGGGAGCTATGAAAATTATAAGTAATTTTGCGGAATTTACGATACGTCTTAATTAATTACGCGTTAACCGTGAACACACTGTCAGAAGCCTTGAAGGGACATAAATTGACGTAGTTTAAGAGAGAAGAGACAATAAGACACGAGTTTGCGCATTTTCGCATGTTGGCAGCTGTAACGTTAATTGTGGCAAACCAATTGAACAGACAGGTGAAGATGATGAGAAAGTATGATTCTATATGAGCGTTGGCACATGAAGCGGCACACGATCTAAACACACGTAGGGTGGTGCCTGGAGGGGCGTCGTAAAACCAATGCAATTCCCCGTGCGTCACACCACCGTCCGCATATCTATATACATATTGTTTGAATACGTCAACACGCCTTATGCTGCTTCTGGACTTGACGCTCCCGGAGCTTGTGCTGGAGATGTGGCTGCGCCAGGCACTGCGGCCTGCAGGGGTGCCTCTGCCGTGGGGCTGGCCGCCCCTGGTGCTTCAGCCTCCGACGTGGGTGCGGTTGCTTGTGCCGCGGGTGTCGCTGCGTCGCTTGCATATGCCCCCGGTGCGTCGGCGCCTGGTGTTTGTGCCTCAGGTGCAGCTCCGCTGGCTGTTTCGGCCTCCGGTGTGGCTGCGCTTGGTGCGGGTGTTCCTGGAGAGTACGCCTCTGGCGTGGCTGCGCTTGGTGCGGGTGCTCCCACAGAGTATGCCTCCGGTGCGGGTGCTCCGGGAGAGTATGCCTCCGGTGTGGCTGCGCTGGGTGCTGGTGCTCCAGGAGAGTATGCCTCCGGTGTGGCAGCGGCGGGTGATTGTGCCTGGGGTGTGGCCGCAGCAGGGGCGTTTGCCTCGGGGGTGTCAGCTGCCGGTGCCTGGGCCTGGGGTGTTGCCGCCGCGGGTGCTTGAGATTCGGGTGCAGATGAGGGTGAATGTGTAGGTGATTCTCCCGCCGGAGATTCTGCGTCTGCCTGTGAAGATTCATCCACACCTATGTCTGCAAAGTCCTCTGCATCTGGCTCATCCGAAGAAGATCCTCCGCCTGCTGACGCCGTGGGTGCGTTTTCATCTGTGTATCCCAAGTTGCTGGACTCCAACACATAAATTATGCACACAGTTAAATCCTCTCTGTTTTTTTTTTTTTTTTTTAAAACGACGTAGGAAAAATGGAAAACAGAGGGAGAGACACCGTGCGATAAGGACTGAAATTGAAACTTACTCGGCGTTGCCTTTAATCCAGCTAGCCCAGACGGATGATTCGGGATCACCGCCACCGCCGCGAAGAGCAGCCTGAGCATCATCTATGGACTGTTGAGAGATGCCCTGCGCTGCCGCCTGATCTGCCAGACTCTTCCAGGGATCGTCCTGACCCACGGCCCAACGCCATGGCAGAGCCACCACTAATGATATTACCACCACCAATGCTATTTTTGTCATTTCCCTTAATTATTAGTGCCTATATGTATACTAAACGATGGTTGCAACAATGCAACGCTGAATCGTACAGTATTCCTAGTATTTATAACCCAACAAGATTGCTGCTGGGTTGCCTAAGTTCACGCCCGCATCTCGCGCCCTCATTTGTTATTTTTGGCTCAATTTAGCTGTTCTCCTTACGGAACCGTAGGATTCAACTAGTTTGTTTTGCTGGATCAGCTCCTAGCTCTTTACATCACAACATTTTTATTGGAATACCTTCTTTTCCGACTTTACTTGTAATAGCCATCGTCCAGTGGTGGCTTTCCCCATATTTATTAGTGATCCATATTTAGTTACATGCATGCAACTTTTATCATTCTTCTTTCTAATATATTCTTCCGGTTCTAAATATAATACTCTTTTTGTAGTGAAAATTACATTATAAAAAGAGTATTATATTTAGGAGCGGAGGAGTATATTTCTGATCTTTCAGACATTGAATGCGATCATCTCGTTTTTAATTTTGTGCTTAGGAAAAATGTATTCTCCATGCTCTCTCTCTCCCTCCCACGCGCACACGCACGCACAAACGCACGCAAGTCTAGTTAATGATTAATCACCAAAGAACATGTTCGCTTATCTTATTTACTCTTCCATGATGCAAAGTATTTCGATTGCTCCCTACATTTTACATAAGTAGAGAAAAAAAAACTCGCCTAAAAGAGCGGAAACCGAAAGATGAAACATACAGCTTCACATATTAAGCGCTATGCATTTCCTCATATTTCTTACAACGAGTTAAAATAAGGGGAACATGACCACATTGCTCATACACAGAAAATTACAAAAAAGACTGACACCCAATGAAACTATAGAGGCTGCTAGGTTACACTTCACTAGCGCATATACCTCCACAGATGTCTCATACAACATCCAGTAACTTCATAGAGCTCAAGAGTCTTGCTTCAACGAAGATTTAGGTTCCTTATCATCCCGCTGAAGAAAACATGCAGATACAGAGTAAGTAAATGAGGGGTTAATAATAGGAAATGAGGTTCGAGTTCTCATCCGCTACTAATGGATTAAATACAACATTTCCCCGTACCTAAAAGAGCCACTAATTGGTCATTATTGAACAAGTCAACCCCTGCTCTCCATTGGAAAATTTAAACGGACCCAAGAATTACCTATGATTTGAAGAAAAAGATCCAGGAATTTCGTTTAAGATATGCACGCCAGATCGGCCGTTTTGTGGCAATGTATATATGCATTAAGGTGGTCAGCATCCAAACTAATTAAAAGGACCATGTGCCCGTGATCTAAAATCCCAAGGATTGGATTTACTTTGAGCCCGCTTTCTCTCCGATGGTTCTCTAATTTATTTGTATGAAGAGATGATAAGAAATTAATTGGTGTGTAAACAGAGTCAAGATCATTGAAACTATGAGTGATCAAGGGAGAATTATATGAATAAATTAATGCAAGGTAAATGCTTGGAGCAACATAAAGAGAAGGTTCTGCGTTGTACTGTTTGAAAGGACTAATCCAATGAGAGTAATGAACTGTGTAGAAGATGATGAGGCCATAAAAGTAGGTGATATGATGTTGAAAGCATGTTGATGTGATCCTGATAATAGATAAAAAGTAAGACAGAGACATTGAAATGATGGGATGAAGAGATGATACCAGGGGTCCTGGGCTGTTCGCCTGGAGTGAACATATCGGGGTAAAGGGATCTGATCACGCTCAATTCGATTGACGTCCTCCATGAGGATCTCATAGTGCCTTTTCACTTCTTGTGGCGATTTTCCGGCCACCGCGTTGGCCACATGTTGCCACCTATCTGGGTCTTCCGGCCCATACACTGCAAGAGCATCCTCAAATCTTCTGTTCTCTTCTCTCGTCCACCCCATTGAAGACCAACGTGCTTTAGTTTGGGCTAAGCGTGTCCCATTCTACCTCCTTAAATAAGGGAGAATCCACCCTACTGTTCTGTACAAGGTGGGGAATACTCGAATGAGATAGGGGGTCAATTATTCGCCTTTTCATCGCCCACCGGGCCATTCAATGTTCATTAGCCAGTAGAATTTCTTCACATTTTTTACAGCCTGGTGGGGGATTAGATCCTCAATCCTCCTCGATAAGGATTCCCCAACAATATAAACCTCCACCGCTAAAGCAAGGCTAAGATATTCTACTGGAATCTCCATCCTCTCTTTCACTTAGACTGCAACTTGCCGTAATATGCTATCTTCGTGGACAGTGTAATATTCCAATCTCAAGTTTGGGTTCTGCTCATCTCATATTCGCGCGGTCCATGCAGCACGAAACTATCGGTACAGTACATTTGAAAATCGGGGTTAATGATATTCGCTCATTGACTTCAAGAATTTACCCAACTTGAGAATCGGATTTGCTTGCATTGCCAACGTCATGTTAATATCACATGTATGGATTCTTGTGTTCTATAGTCTACCTTACGTATTCGTAAGGCAACTGATTCACCAAATACAGCTGGCCTGGTGTTTGGATTTTAGAATTCAGCGTCAGATGATGGGAAGATTACCGACCATCTTTTTTTTTTTCCGATAAAAGAACTAGTTTGATATTTAATTTGACTTTGTGTATAAGACTCAATATGTTGTTTCTCATATTTATTTATTTATTTTTTAAATAGTCTTTGTAGAAATTAACATGTTAAATGTTTTATTGAATAGTAATTTTAACTAATACATATGATTAGTATAGATATTTTAATAAAGACAACACATATTTATTACAAACAACTAATTTAACTAACTTTCTTAGTCTACTCAAATTAGTTAAACTATTTTTTATATTAAAGATCGGAGATAATATATATTTATTTTGACAGAAAATGTTGAATCTGAAAGTTCAAAAAGAATCTCGACTATGTCAACCATGAAAAAAAATATTCTTCCGGAAAAAAGTAAAATTTTTAAATTAGGCCGATAGATAAAATTCACATTTGAGTAGGGCGAAAAAACCATCATGCTTGTGGATCTTCTTGTCGCGCCGTTTAACACTATGAATTCTTTGTTTTTTCAGTCTGTTTTAAAAGAAAATGATAATCGATTATTATTATCATCCAATCTTTAATGATATAAACAAAATAAATTTGGAATATAATTACCAACACACAAACGCGAAATATATTCGAATAGTAAATGTCAATATGCCATTGAACTAATGTCTTATCGAAGACAGACGAAGGGGAACCTGAGGACTACAAGGTGATAAACTAACGAGGCGTGGGCGTTGCCTGGCTAGTAGTATTCCCCTCTGATATAATCATTGAGTCGCTTCAGTTCTCCGCTTTGCTGCTCCATCACAGCTCTTACCACATCCACCATCGAAATCATTCCCACCACCTTCCCATCAATTACTGGCACATGCCTTATGTGATTCTCTGCGATCAAAAGTCTCTCATGTTTCATCATCTCTTCCATCTTGTTTCAACTCAACTTCCAGTAACAGAAAACAAAACAAATACCTGTCATAATTCTCATTGCGTGTAGTATGTTCATGTCAGAGGTCACCGTCATTAGATTTCTCTGTTTAACGCAAATCATGAGGGCAAAGGTCAGAGAAAAAGGGAAAGAGATGCAACCTGGATGGTACTGTTCAAACAAAGTCCAAGGAATGGTATGAAATAACCTCATCAGTCATAATTTCACCAACTTGTGTGTACACTGGAGATCTTCCTTTCGCAATTATTTTCTTCAAGCAATCTATCAATTGGTTCATGCCACCGCACACAAATTAATCACAGGATTTTTCAGTCAAGAATGTTGAGTCCGGAATGAGTTTCGACGTCTTTTTTCTTTTTGGGAACTCTGAACAAAAGTTACCTCTTTCTGTGACGACTCCTGCTATATGACCCTCAGGCTTTAGCACCACCAGTGATCCAATATTGTTCGTAGCCATCTGAATTCTCAAAGAAACTTGGCTAACATATATAGATGTCAAAGGAAAATGGAGGTATGTTCAACAATTCGAACTACTTACATTCTTCATGGCATTAATAACAGCATCATCAACTCGGCACCAGAGCCATGAGCCGACTTTTTCTTCTCCCTTGGACAGTAGTACGTCGGAAACTGTAACATTTTCCAACCCTTTCTGCTGCATTGGTGGGGACGACGTGACACATCCGAAGCGTGAATATACGCTTTCCATGTTGATGATTCCATTCCCGTGGAATTGTAATATTGCAGGCCTTGGGGGGTTTTGGCGCAGCCTTACTCCCCGCCAAATTCCTAGCATCTTTTGTGTTCTCCCTCTGTTCAAATCAAAATAAAAATCAACACACAGAAATAAAACTAGCGTAGGAGATGATAGCGTGCCCTGATGCAGCTTCTAGGAATACTTGGAAATGGGAAATGATATCTACTGGGGGACAAGGCAGGTCGTGGAACTCTTCCACGACAGGTATTTCAATTCATCGTGAAAGGTAAAAAGAATATCTCCTTGCCATCGTTTACTCTGTGAAGGTACCTTCTCCGGCAATTCTTTTCTTCATAGGGTGTATGAAGGAAGGCACTTTCTATTTGATGAAGTTAGAATATAACGCTTCAGCCTTGGGCCCTTCATTCACACAACATACCAAGCAAAATAAATAATTAAATCCATAAATGACAGGATATGCTGGTTACGTACGGCCTACGGGTTTTGGTTCATGCGATTCGATTCAACCATTAAGGCTCCGTCCTCTACTTGGTTCTATGAATTGCAACACGTGGGTGAATTGCAAAATGAACACCGACTGTGCCACAATGAGGCCAAGTATATGATTGGAGACTCCTTCTGTGAGAGGCAAACAAAATTTATTTTCTCCTGCCTCACAAGATTGGAGTAGTTTGCAGACATTAAATTAAAAAATAGGTCAAACAAAGCACAAAAGTCAAAAGGTGCCGGCGGAAAGGAAATATAACGTGGCACTTTGCAAAATACATGACCAGGAAGAATATTCTTTTTCATGCAAGATTAGCTACAATATGCATGGAGAAATTAATAACGTGGTAAACTTGCCAATTAAACACCAAGTCTGACATCAAGGTCAAACAAACTTGGCAACTACAGGTGAAGGCGTTCATTGGCGTAAGAGTCACATCCCAACTTTTTCTTTTCGGTTTATCGTTTGAAGAATATATGTACATGTATGGAAATGGAAGAGTGGCACAACGTTATCCCATCATGAAACAGGGCGATATGATCACTCGCAAGCAGGTTTGGTGTCGAAACTGCTCAAGCAGATTGCGAAGGCTTGAAATGCAGAGAGTGGATAACGGTAATCCATGGTGAATATGTCCTTTCCAATTTTGCCAAATTGCAGCATCACCCTATCCTGTTCTGCCGCTGAAACATTTTGTTGAGGTTCTGCAGCAGTTACGAGCTGGAAGTTCTTTACTGAGGCCACCGTAACACGTCCCTTGAAATTCAAGCACCAACACTGCAGTTGTTCATGCCACCTAGGAGCTTTATTTTTCAAAATCAGTGGCTCCCTTGTGATGTGGCTCGATTCTGGGGGCTTATCTTCGCTATTGGAGCCATACTCAACTCCTGGCTTTCTTTCTTTCGAAATGGGCGTGGAAGATGGATGCTCATGAGGGAATCTAGTAAATTTCAAAGGAGTAGGAGCAGTGCCCCCTTCTTGGATGGCAGACACTGGAATTGAGTGCATGGTACACCGCATTCTCCTTGGACCTCTTGTGCGGAGAACATTGAGCTCATATGATATCGTGGCCACATTATGCTTCGCCAGAGCAGCCCTTTGAAGAACCTGCTTCGAACGGATTCTTTGCCGCAATTTACTAGTCAACGGAAGGGAAGAATCAAGCGGGAGTTGACTATCCAAGATCGTGAACTTGGTACCTAGAAAATTAGACCTGCTCATTGCTCACAGATCAATTTAACAATAAAAGAATGCAGCAAACAACAAGATAAGAACCTTGAAGAGGTGTGACTAACCTCAGCCTTCCAACGTACGTATTGCTTGCTTTTGAAAAATCATCTGCAACCAATGATATTATAAACTCTGTACACGTTGTCCGTCTAATCTTCTTTGCTGCCAGTAGCAGTTTACTCATATCCCCAGAGAGAGCTGCAAAACAGAGTTACATATCCCAGTAGTAACAATGTCTATACTAATAAATGCTTCACTTCAAGGGAACTGGTGGGACTTCTTCCCAAAGAAAAGATGATACGAGACGTCGAAATAAAAAAGAAAAAACAGATTAAGATACGTCAGCAAAGAAAATCTAGTCCTCATGACAGCAGCTGCAGTTACATTAGACCGACCTACATTGTTCAACAACCTAAGTAATTGAAAAGAGCGAGTTAAGGAAAAGTAACTATTATTTGAAGAAAAAAGTTTTTTTCCCCAGCCAAGAATTACTACTGCCATACCAGGATATAAAAATTTAGTCTTCACGATAACCGTTTCTATAGAGAGTAAAATTACGTGCTCACTTAAACTAGACGATCGAAAGAATTTGCTCGGGCAGAAGATTGCAACAAAGTGACTATCCACAATGATGGTTCGACAATTTCAATGCCACCGTTTAAACTCAAAAGGAAAACTTTTAACTCTTCACAAGAGATATATGCAGCAACAGAACAACCATATTACCTGGACTTAAACCAAGATATAAAAGATATTTCGAAGTCACCCTTTCTCTCTTTATAAAACACTGGACGGGAGTCTCTCTTGGACCAGGCTAAGAGGCAGAGAAGCAGTCAGCACAGTTTAATAGGGGTGAATCACAAATCATTACTCTCTGCTCATGAATTTAAGACAGATAAGTACGTGGATAAATTGCATGGGTGATATTACCTGCTTCAGCGATATGGGGAAGGTAAGCCAACCACACTGCTCTGGCGTCTTTACCACCTCCTCTGTTATTTTCCTCCATGACCTACAAACTGAGGCACAAGCTACAACCGCACGCCGGCCAGGCCATGAAGTTTCGCTTGCTTCCACCCTCTGAATTATGTCTAATAACAACTCAGATGGTAAGTTAGCCCAGGGGCTCTGCTGAGTCACTAACGAAACTGGTGAGGAGAATTCAGGAGCAATAAGAGATCTTCCACGGCAAGGGATGCGATTTGCTTCTACCCCTCTTGTAGAAATATTTCCCATGCCATCTCGAATATCCCTGAGCTCACGAACAAAATCTTTGAAAGGCATAATGATTGGGCTAACACTGCAATTTAAGTTGGTGAAAAAAAAAATAAGAAAGAAGAAATTGGAAAGTTTAGAGAGATTTATGACACATCTATATAAGTACAGTGGATATACCATTGAAGCCGTGAATCACTAATTGATAATGGACAGTTATTAAGTACCCAGTTGCATTGTTCGTATTAACATAAAGAACAATTATGGAATACCGACGGGGGAAATTTTCAAATTTGCCGGGAAAGAAGTCTTAAAGGAAGTAATAAGCGCTGACAACGAGAAAGTAAATGAAGTGTTCTCAGACAAGGTAACATTATTACCAATGAAGATAAATATATTATCTATCTCGACTCAAAAGGAGGTACTGTGTTATTTACATGTCCCATGCGTTGCCCGGCAAACCAGTCTTTCAGTCGATGCAAAACACCGAATGCGAGACGATGAGGGAGGAGCACATATATGGTCGGGTAAAATGCAAAGAGAAGTTAGCATGTGATTGGAATCCTAGATCCAAAAACCTTTGGCATTTGAACTAGCGGCACAGATGAAATGGAAAACTGAAAAAGAGAAGAAAAGAATAATGAGAAGGCTCAGGAATTAAGAAGGAAGTTCGTGTACCGCGACTCCGAGAGGCAAGTGCCTAGAAAACCACAGATTCTCAGAGAGAAGTTGGAAGACAGAAAGGATTAGGAGATAATGGGGAGAAAATGAGGAGAATGCTTCCAAAAAACTGAACCACTTACCGAAGCCAATGTCTCGGAGAAAGCAAAAGGCTAAGATAAGAGAGTGAGGAAGGAAGAGATAAAACTAGGGAATGGAGATCAAATCGTGGAGTCTTCTGTAATAATACAGGGAATGGTGAGACCACCCTCAACGTCTTTGCAGCAGTGCGCTATGTCCGGAGACGCTCATCGATCTTCAGGTTATTGGGGGGGGGGGGGGATGCGTAAGAATGGTCACGCGGAGGAGACAAGCGAATATTTGGGTCTTCGGTTAATTAGGTGTGGGCCCACCCTGGACGCTGCTTCGTTTACCGTCAATTCAGCCCATCACAGCAACGCATGGTCAAAGCGTCAAACGCTCTTTCAACGTCCCCGTCATCCTCTGCTGTTGACCCCCAAATTATGAGTTTTGTATTTTAATAATTATTGAGTTTTTTATTGCACACTGTAATTAAAAAAAACATAATTTTTAACGACTGTATAATTTCCGTATGATAATACTAAACGAATCCAATTAAATTAAATTTAGTTAAAAACTGTGTACATATTGCAGTTTTATTAAGGATCATTGTTGTGTCATTACCCCTGTTGTGTTGATACTTAATGTCGCTTTTCCAGAAGAAAATATCTGTTCTATCTTAAATTTAAATAACATCAGTCAAAGGATATTCGTTAAAGTCACGTGTGTCCCTGATCAATTTAGGACAGTTCACAGCGATTAAAGTAAAGATTTTATATATTTTCATTAAAAATTAGAAAGTCGAAATAAAAAATTTGAACAACGTAACTAAAAAATCTGAATTAAATATTATGCGTGGGCTGCACCTGGCATGTGTTTGGATAATGAAGATGCACACATAGGAATTAAATTAAGAATAAGCAAGTGAGGGCGATCCACCATACGTAGTCGGAATTAACAAAGCAATGCTGATCGCGGTCACAATGTGGAACGCCCCACTTGTATGGTGGAATAGTGACTAATGACTGTTTTTATGATTTGAACATGGAAAAATCAAGAAAAGGAGTAGGTAACGATGGAAATATGTCTGATATTTTTGGAGGATTCACTCGCCCATTCGCTTGGGTGTGGGTCAAACAGTACAGATATGAGAGTCAATTCAGTCACCAACTTGCGCAGCCGACGCTTCGGTTGATGGGAGAACAAAACTTGCATCCGCGGATTCGATGAAACGTAGGAGTTGGAAACGCCACCTAATTTTACTTACTAATAATTAAATGACACCTCTAGACGTAGGAAGTGTGTTGTTTGGTGGTAGCTAAGGGGATAGTGATGACTGATGGGGAGCTTGTTAATGAGCCTGTGGCATTTAAGTATTTTTTAATTCTACATACGTTGTTCGATTTCAAATAATAAATAATTTCTCGTATTAAATATTTTTTTAATAAGTTTTGTTAATCTCAATCTCAATCATAATCTTTATCTTATTTTTAATGCTTCGTGCAAAATGGGAATCCCGTGATACTGAAAGTTATTAACTCATGGCGACATATAATTGATAGAGAAGTTGATAAAGATAGCAGGCATGAGGATAAGTCAAGTGAAATGTGGTTTCAGAAGTGAAGGACAAATGGGATAAGTGAACCAAGCAGAGGCTGGAGTTGAGTAGATGCATGGTCGAGGCTGTTCTGCACAGTGTAACTTGGAGAGCATGTTCACTACTCTCTGTCTTATCATGACATATAATAAATTAAAGTCCAATCAAATAACTTCCACGTACGTGAATTATTGCAGCCCCTGATTTTGCGTAACCCAAAATTATGTGGATGATGAGCGTGAGTAGTGGATGATATGATTGTGGTGTGAGTTGTATGTTATAAAAAAGCCAACAAGGACGCAGACGGACGTCTGGTCCCTCCCTTTATTCAGTTCACTCGTGCCTCCAGTCCCGAGTCTGTGTGCCATTTTATCAATCATCCCGTTCCTGCCGCCTCTACTGTATTCCTCACTCCCATCTCAATAATCATTATTCGTTTATATATTTCCTTTTCTTTTTTTTTTGGTACAATTTTTTTACTATGTAGGCACTGTAGAATTTGAACTCGGTTCACCACGTGTTACGAGAGATTAGTTTCTTTCGCTACATGTCTAAACCCAAATCCCATTGTTTTGTCTTTTTAATTTTTTGGGTACAATTCATTTACATATTTCCCCGCATTAGTCTCTGGGCATGTTATTGTGGGTTTCAACCAAGGCACAGCCCAAAGCAGACAATCTGGGCTTGGGCCTTCTAGGTTCGTGTGATTGATTGCTGCTGAGAGTCCAGGCTATGTTTGATTTCCTTTTGCACGACTCGGGTCCATGTTAAAGCTTTATGAACTTTGTTGTGTAGTTTTCTTAAATGCCAAAAACAAATTTATCTCTAAACCCACAGTTGAGTCGAGGCATTCATAAGTTCATTTGTCCATTCTGCATTTGAGCCAAACCCCCGGCTTTGGTAAATTCTAATCCGAACGCGTCTCAAGACTCATTCAGATAAAGAGAAGGGCGGCGCACCGAAAAAAGGCAAGACGCAATTAATCTTTATCTTTTTTCGGCAATTAATTAATTGAAGGAAACAGACAGATTAAATGATCACACGAAGTTATTTTGTTTTGCATGAGCGCCTGTCCCTAGAAGAATCCTAAAATCTTAAATGACAGTATAATCCAAAACTTGGTCTAGGAATAGAGTGGTTATCTTTCGATATTCCTTCTGGATTAATCCATTTTTATTCGTTCGCCAAATTAGCATTAACAGGAGGATAAAGTCTGATCATATAAAAAGATTAATGTAATATTCAGTGAGTATGACTGTGAACTGTACTGAATATTGTTGCTTATTCGTCAAAATGCATGGGCTGGTCGAGTGATCGCGAAATGGTGGTGGCAACTGGCAATAATGATAGATGATAAAGACACAAAGAAAAGCACAGAAAACAAAAGCAAAGTTTGGGGGCGATATTTTCTTCAGGATAACATTGTTTGGTGGACGTGGATCCCATTTGGATGGAGACATCCGCCACTCAAAGTGGAAAGCTTTCAGGCTGCTCCTGTTTTTTGAGGTTGTTGCCGATAGTGGAACTATGGAAGGAAAGCTAAGTTATGATGGAGACAAATAAAGAAGGGGGAGAGAGAGAGAGAGAGAGAATAAACCGAAACAAAACAGATATTTACATAAATGCATATAAATTGTAAGATATAACGAGGTTTTACGTCTATTAGCTTTAGTTTTCTTTTCTTTTTTTCCGTTCTTACATGGGGTTTTGGGGTTTTATTTTGTCACAGATAAGATGTGAAATTCTCAAAATTTTAGGAATTAAAATAACGCAATGGTCGAAAAAGAATTGAAAAGGTTCAGGGAAAACAAAAACAAGCGAAAGTGTCGGGGGGTTGTTTTGTAAACCTGTGGGAGTGGGCAGGCTTAAGCCTGGCTAGAATTAGAATATCACGTTTTTACAATGCCCAGACTAAGCGGATCTTCATAATAACCGTTGGATCTCCCTCATCATCTTTGCTGCTTGTGAAACGGGCCCCATCTCTCTCATTTTTATCCCCTTTAAATAAGTACTACTCCACACTCAAAGGATCAAAACACAGAGAGATCCAAAACTTCAGTATCTCATTAAGAACTTCACCGTTCGGAGGATTACTGTGTTGAATTAACAGAAGCAAAATGGGTTCTCTTATGGCGGGATGGGACTCTCCCACCATCGATCCTAAATCAGGTACTAGTTAAGCGTTTCCTGTATGTTTTGTTTCACTTCTGGTCGCTACCTGCACACTGATTTCTCAGGAGCCAATTCATCTCTTTCCAATCTCAGCTAAACTGAAGAGAAATCAGTCTCTCACCAAGGAAGAAATCGATTCTTACTGGAAATTAAAGAAGAAGACAGAAGAAGAACACCTGAGAGCCATTTCCAATTTATCAGAAACCATCAAGGTTGAAGACAGCCTCACACCGACCTAGCTTTTTGTATCCAGAAATATTAAAATGCATAAATGTATATTGCCAATTAATTAATATACAGATGATGCCTACAGGAGAACAAATACGAGGAGTCTGAGACGAAGTTACAGAAGTCGAAGAGCATGCCCTTGACCCGCACAAAAGAGTCGGTGGATGTGGATGCAGCAGACACACGCCTGGAACAGCTGATCAAGAAAAACGTGTGGTAATGTGTGTGTGTGTGTGTGTGTGTAACGATAATTCAGCTTCTTGTCTTTAATTAATATATTTGTGTTGCTCTGCATTCTAAATGACGGTGTGGAATGTGAGGGCAGGTGGACGAAGAGTAACTGGGCATTTCTGAACGAACCTCCGGTGATGGAGGCTGCTTCCAGCAGGTATGCATCGCAGTTCCACGTAGCCAACATGGGAGCACCCAAGTATAACCCCGCAGATGGGATTGGTGCCTAATATCAGATTCGCTGTTATAACTACGTATGTAATGTAGGGTTGTGTGCGCGCCTAGCGGGGTTTGGTCTTTATCAGTTATTGTTGTTTCCATATATTCTCCTTTTAGTCCTAAATATAAAACTACAAAAATTGTAGTGTAGTTTAGTACCGGAATAATATATATGACGGGATTCTGTGTTAAATAGAACTGCTTTTAGTTGTTTTTGCTGCTGGTTTAATAACATGCCAGTATACCCTTCGCTCGCCCCTTCCTTGCTGTCTTATCGACAACTTCTGCTTTCTGATCGCAAGCTTCTAGTCGATCAGTTTCTATTTTAATTTTCATGGTCATGAAAATTATTTGGTGATTTGGTGCGGGTGATCAATGATGTGTTGGAGTGTCGGCATGTAGATTTCAAGGTCATCTTAAACCTGGCGGGTGGCTAATTATGCTTTGATTGGCCACCTCCTCCCTCGGATATTTTTCATCACTTCCTCTTTTGGATAGTCATTGCGGATTTTAGCTTTCGCTAATTTCCATCCAGATGACGCGATGTATTAGATTTTTATTGAGCAGGGACGTTGACCCGCTAGCTTGTTTTGATCCGATGGCCAAAAATGAAAATTACTTATAACCCAGAAGGCTGTGCGCATTTTGGTTCTACCACACGGAATCCGAAGAAAGGAGACGCTAATTGAGTAAGGAGATAAGTCATGGGAAGAATGTATTACACTACAAAGAGTTTATATCTCAAACTTCTAGATAACGTGATGTAAAAATGAGAGAATTTAGAGCGCACAAAAGAGATTAGCTAGACAAAAAATTAGGAGTGAAAATAAGGGGGAAATTCTTATTTAATTGTGACTTTGTGAGTACCAATACTCTATGCATGAATTCTGTTTATAGATCTCTATATGACCTCTATTTATAGGCCTGTGATCATTAGATCTTAATCTTAACGTTATGATAGAATAAAAAGGAACATAATAACAGTAGCCATAAGAAGCTCCTTTCGAGTTATCTACTAGGGAGGTCACGAGTCTAAAACATTTAAAGTTTAAAAAATCCTAAGAGAAATCTAAAGGTTAGGTTAGGGGTTATGGACATCCATGTATATAATGTTTATAATAATCTACGACTTATAAACACTAATCTGTTGCTGCTCAAAGTATAATGGGATCATTATTATTTTATTTTTAATTTAAAATACTGTTCATTTTATAAGTCAACAATTATGAGGTTAACATTATTCTTTGCATTCCGCACTTTTAAGACAAAAAATTATTAAAATATTATAATAAATTAGAAAATTTAGACCTATATGCAGCAGGCGCATATCAGCCATATCTTTATATACTTATAAGGAAAAAAAAATCAAATATCTTTTGGGAAAAATTTTAAAACTAAAATTAAAACACTTGAATATTGTTATTGGGTCCTTTTGTTGCCGCGGGACGGTGAGGCAGGAACCATTGGGCCGAAAGATGTGACTATTGGGCTCTTGAGAGTTACGCAGGCAAGGGAGAAGTTAGGAGGGCCTTTTTAAATGAGGAGAGGACAGAGAACAAATGGGAAGAAGCTCCCTTCTGGTGAGCGGCTGAACCTCCGAGTTCTGACCTCGGCTGATTTTCTTCCACCTCGTGCGCGTGTGCTTTTAATTGATATTCTACCTCCAAGTGTTTGAGACTTCTGAGTTATTGACGAAACCATGGAATTTCCGATAATGGTGATGACGGAAAGCTAATCTATGTTATTTGGTGGGATTACGGAGGGAGCCAAACTCCAGATAAGGAAGGTCAGAACCATTTATAAGATCAAGTTTCAAACAAGTGGAACATGAACGTGTCCTATAATCAACAGAGAATCGAGTACATAACTCAACTATTGAGCTTGGCTGATGCCGCAAGTTTTTAACTCATGATTATGGTCTCACTGTAATCATCACCAGTTATCAAAATGAAAATTCGTAAATCCTAATCAATAATCGCAAGGATCCTGCAAGCCAATCCACAGTCGTGACTGAGACAAAACATATTGATCACACATTTACACCAATCAGATTTACACCAATCCTTTTTTTTTTTTAAATATAATAGACATGGCATTATTATTTGTGCAATTATATATTTATACCCATACAGTAGGTACAAAATTTGGTGAGACTCTTTTTGTCCAATTGTTGTGCCGTCATGCGTTCTCTGTCTCTTTCTATTTTCACACCAACAGCAGGAAAAAATGCCGCTTTGCTGAACAACCCATGCCAAGCCACGTCTAAATTTGAAACACATAAGCTATAAAGTAACGTTTTATCTTACCAATTTACATCGTTCCCCCATGAGCACAGATCGTCAGTCTGGGATCCAAAGCCATTCCCTTCAGCTGCTATCCAGTGAGGATTGGAGTTTTGTTTGCTTGAGGTGTTTTCTGGGAAGCAATTGCGCCGGTCCCTGATCAGTTTTATTGCATCCAGCACTACCATTATGGTGGGACGCCGTCAAGTTAGCTCCGGCAGGTAATGACACAATTGGTCCTTGTGCTGGTGCAGGGGTCAACTCCTCCGCAGCTACAGCCGTCGTGCACGGCGTTGTTTTTTCGATAGGATACTCTCTTTGACCCATCACTCTTCTATCATCTGCTACCTCCGTTGAATTGCCTGCAGATTGAAATAAGAGAAGAGAGAAATTAAAATTACAGGTCTCGGAGGCATATAAGCCTGCAAGAAGAAGAGCAGCAAATTCTTGGAGGCTAGTGTTTACCATAGAAATCGAAGTCCCGCTTTGAATTCTCTGACAAGAGAACAAGTGTCGGTGTGATGATTGTGAGGAAAGCCCAGAAGACGAATATTGGAACTATGGTTCTTTCACTCATTTGTTGGAATAAGAGTAAACGACTAAACTTAATTCATGCTCCTTTGCCGAATATATGAGACAAGAATTTTGCGGTTCGCAGGGAGAAAAAAGAGAGGAGACATGATGTGGGAGATGATGTTCTTAGCTGGCCATGTTTAAACAACATTTGTATAAGAAATTATGAAGCTAGTATTCCATGGATAATTATGTACTCATTAAAATATTATAAGCGGAGTCAAGGTTTAACAACTAAACTAGCGATTTGTTTTCGCGGTTGTTGGATGGTTGTTATAGACATAGCTGGTTTAACTAGACACCTATCTGGCAAATTCTTCAGCGTACAATCTCCCCATGCCCGATCGGCTATAAGACGCTTTCACAACTGAGTTCCTGCCACGATTCGGCTTATAATATTCGGTGGCAGGCCAAAGTAACTTTCAGATGGCGTTTAGTGATAAAACTTTGTCATGTAAACAATTAGTTTATTTACAACGGGAGCATAAAAATGAAAACTTTATGGAAGTACGCTAAGAAAAAACGCTTACGGGTAAAAAGAAACAACGTTGTTTTCAAATATATGGTAGCGAAATAGACTGTTGTCTTTCTCTGTGTCAATCTTCCTCAACAGAACATACCAAGATATAGAAGAATATTTCGAAGCCGCCCTTTCTCTCTTTATAAAACACTGGCTGGGAGTCTCTCTTGGACCAGGCTAAGAGACAGAGAAGCTATCAGCACAGATTAATAGGGTTGAATCACAAATCAGTACTCTGTCCTCATGAATTTAAGATAGATGAGTACGTATATAAATTGCACGGATGATGTTACCTGTTTCAGCGATATGGGGAAGTTAAGCCAACCACACTGTTCTGGTGTCTTTACCACCTCCTCTGTTATCTTCCTCCATGACCTACAAACTGAGGCACAAGCTATAAAACCGCCCGGCGGGCAGTCGTAACATGTAACGCCCCACTTGTATGGCTGAAGAGTGACTAATGAGTAATAACTGGTTTTGAAATTTGAACACAGGAAAATCAACAAAAGGAGTAGGTAATGATGGATATATATCTGATATTTTTGAGGATTTATTCATCCATTCAATGGGTCTGCGTCAAAGTTAAATACAAATGAGAGAGTCAATTCAGCCACCACTTGCACAGCCAGATCACATTGAAGAAGTCGTATTACCCGTCTCAAGAAATTGGAATGATGATGAAGAATCAGAGAATACAACCCAACTGCTGATAGATTAGCGAGATCAGGACACACTAATTACGAGATTTTTCGCGCCTTTGGTCAACTCTAACCCAACAATGCATCGTCTTTCTTGGACTTTTTAGTTTTATTAATTCGCTGACTTGCCCTCAGTTTTTGTTCATATGAATACCTTTTCCCTCCTCTCTTATTTATTTCTGTTTCAGAAAATTGAAAGAAATATGAAGAAAATGAAGCGATCTGCTTTGTGCGCGCGCCTGTACAAACACCTCCGTTTCTGGTCTCTGTTTATGGTCTTCATTTCCTTCACCAGTTTTTTGTTATACGTACCATGAAAAACATATAAAGTGGTCTTGTTCTCTCTTGTGTTTAGTGTCTAGGCATTGAACTCTGATGAACATATTTTGATAAAGGCTCCTGCAGTTGATAAGGAGCCATTTGTTCCCCCGGGGGGGGGGGGGGAGTGCCGCCATCGTTGGAGACGTTCAAGCTGGAACAGGATCATCAAGCTGGTACGACTGTGTCTTGAGAGGTAAGGTTGTTTGCTTGAGTAATGGAACGTAAAAACATTCTAAAGATTTCATGCACCAAAAGCTTCTACAATATTTTTCAATACCCTTTTGCGCACACTTTTATATGGGGCTACCATTGCCGTAAAAAACAAAGCTCTAATTAAGCAGCTTTCATATATTTGGAATCTGTATATCTTTGGTTCTCTAATGAAAATCAAATCATGAAATTCTGTTAGGTCTCTGTTTTGCAGATACACATGGCGGTAATGTTTGATGTTCCCTTCATGTGCAGGTGAAGTGGGACTAACATACAGGATAACTCCTTCATCCAAGTCGCAGAGTCAAATTTAAGTGGGAAGGTGTTGCCAACTATTACTGGGGACAATGCCAGTGTTGGTGAGTAATTTTCTTCTGCAATGAATGATCAGAGAGACGCTACTAAATTGTAATCAGATTTTGTCCTTTGCAGTCGGTAGGTCATAGCGCAGTCTCACATGGCTGTAGTACTGTTGAGGATGAGGCTTTTGTTGGTATGGGTGCAACACTGGTTGATGGTGTCGTTGCTGAGAAACATGATGCCATGGTGGCTGCTGGAGCCCTAGCGAGACAGAATACTAGGATTCCCCGCGATAAGGTATGCTGTCGGTAATCACATCATTTTCCTTTCTATAAAACTCATATCTTATTCATGGAACAGACACAGAGAGGACAATTGCTTCTTTCTCCTTCATTGTTCTTACAATTTTGTTATTTATTGTCCTGTTCACCAGCGTAATACTAAGCTGGTGAAGTATGACCTCCAGAAGCTAACTTCTCTATAACACAGACTGGACATCCATGCAATAGCATTAGTGGACACCCTTGTTAATCTCTCTTGTAGTCCTGACAAGTGCTTGTGGTTCTGTTTGAAATATATGCAGCCGAAAATGCCAAGTCCTTCGACAAAATTGAGTTTGAGACGGTTAACATGTCCGTATTTGGACCATCACCGTCACATGATTGGATTCCAGAATAAAATAGGTATATATGTAGAGAAGTTTAAGCATACGGAGGCACGGCTCATAACATAATGAGAATAACAGAAAGCAACTCTGGCAATGCAGAATTCACAGGAACAAAGATAATGGAGACGAGGAAGTCAAAGGGTTGCAGTAGAAAAGTGAAGGGAACTCGGTGGGATTGGCCATAACATAATGGAGGAAGAGGAACGCATGCGAAGCCTTGAAACAAAACATGTGAGCATTGAGGAACTCACTTTCGTATTCATATTCACTTCCAATGTAACAGCGACTTCAACCAAACAATCACATGGTTCCTGTCATTCCCTGGCCGCGTGCTTCTATTCTATACCTCAGCAGTGGCTTCAAGTATAGTATTGTGTTGGAAGCACGTGGCTTTTGCATAGGGTGGGAGTAGGACAACCATATAATAATGTATACTGCTCTGTATCACACCAATAATGACCAGTGATTTATAACACGAAGATGATGAACAATAGGAAAATCACCGTAAAGTCTACAGTCGTTAGTGCGTTAACAATTAAATACTTGATTGATTGAAGTCCGGTCTTCAAGCTTACGGGCGCTAGAATTTCAGACATTTGGAATCTAATAATTGCTGAATTAAATGATGAATCAAGATTCTTGGCCCTTAATAAATGCCCCTCTTCACTCCCAACTTGCTCAGCTCTCGAACACATCCCATGTGACAATGTTACTAGGTTTCCACTAGTTTATGCATCTTTATACTATCAAGTGATGTGCGCTTTCAGGCCCAAAAAAATAATAAAAAGGTGATGTGCGCTTAGAGATATAGAATGACTAATACAGAAGAAATTGTGTTAACTGTTGAGCCGTTGGAATTCCACTTCAGTGATAATGATACTCCTCCGGTCCTTAATATAGGACCCATTTAACTAATTTGATTAGATTAAAGAAGTTAGGTAAGTTAGTTAATTATAAAAATTATGACACGTTTTTCCTAAAATACCATAATCATCTTTCTTAATACCCCTCTCTATCTTCTACTTGATTATGGTTGATAGAGTATCCATAGGGGTAATTTAGAGAAAATTGATAAATATGAGAAATGAGTTTTATATTTAGGACCAAAACCAACTCAGCAATTGAGTCCTATATTAAATACTGGAGGAGTATTAGTTTTAATAATGTGGGAGGTGTGGGAATACTTTTGGATGGAGGCCGGGTGGGAATCATCTAAAGTGTTGCCAAAAGATTCTCCGTGATTTCTGCTGCCTCCTTTCTTCTCTTCTCATAATTTTCTATATCCATCATTTCCACCTATTATAATTAATAACCATAAACTCGAATTCTAATGGCCTACTGCCATTTTCATGCCATCATGTGTGGATTAGCCTGCCTGGAATTGGAACTGCTCCCAACCCTTACAAATGGCGCCGTTCATTAATTTTATGCGGATAATAGTGCCTGTTTAATCGATGAGTGGACCTCTTTAGAATTCAGTATTGATTCCCAGCCGCTGTCGGGCGAGCAACTTTAATCATCAGCCATAGTTGTTCAATTCTAAATATTCTCGATAATTTGAGGTTCTTGTCTTTTCCATTTGAATGCATATGTGCGAACACAGGGTCCTTCCGTTGCTTTTAGGTGAAACAAATCTTAAGGAGGGTCATAGTTGTTGATATCACTATGCACCACCACACACACTGATACTCAGTGGATAATATATTATATTCAAACAAGCTTGGCTCAAAAAGGGGGGCGCACATACAAGCACGAGGCATCTCTAGGCCTTTGAGGAAGGAGAGAATCAGAATATTAACAAATTGAAAATGTCTGGCGTTAAAAGGCAATCCAATTCTTGGTCAAAAAAAAAAAGAAGCAATCCGATCATTGCAAATTTGCAATTCGAAACCCAGTAATAAGTGCTCGTTGGATACGCAACCCTGTTTGTTAAAATCGGGGCTTTGCTTGGAGTATATTATTTCGTATTTATGATAGATCAAATACGCCGGGTGATTCCTCCCTTCTAGAGCCGGGAAAACGGGCCAAGCCCATCAGGCCGGCCCGTTTAGGCCCTGAAATTACGAGGGCCGGGCTTGATATTTTTCTCTTAAAATGATAAACAAGCCCTGGAGGGCTGGCCCTGGAGGGCCGAGGGCTTAAAAGGGCCGGCCCTGGAGGGCCGCGGGCCGGCCCTGGAAGGCCGCGGGCCGGCCCTTTTAAGCCCTTTTATAATTTTTTTTATTTTTTATATAATATTAATGTTATTAATTTTTTACATTGTTAATAATATTTCAAATATTTAGTTATTATTATCATTTTAAAATTAAATTTAGTTTTAGACAATAA